ATATATATATATATATATATATATATATATATATATATATATAAACGATTACAAATAACTATTCATTTGTCTTTTAATTTATAATGGAAGTTTTTTTTAACAATATTTAAAATGAGATTCAATTATTTGATGTTATAAAAGACAACTTTAAATTTGTAGATCCTTATAAAAAGAATTTAACAAATACTTGGAAATTATTGTCCATTAATTTCCGAATCTCTCATGGATTCTGAGAGCCATATTTTATTTTACATATTCTACAATGAGAGAATAAAATATTATTTAATAATTATTTATATCTTTTTTAATACATTTTGTACGTACATGCATTATATTACGTGAGCTTTACAGTGCAAGTGCCATTGTATTATATATAGATACTTTGAATACTTCGGATATTAATCATATATTTTAGATTAAGTTAGATTACAATAAAAGATATTTTATATTAATTATCTAATGGACGAAATGTTATGTGATAGACGGAATGTAGAGAGCTTTCGCAATTTATTAGACCAGGACACTTGTCGGGGAACTGACTGAGTTCCGGGTTTGTGTCCTGGTCTAGTAAATTTCGGAAGCTCTCTTTATATTCCGTCTATTATATAATTAATATAGAACACCTGTCATTATAATCTAACTTAATCTAAAATATATTATTAATATCCGAAGTATTGTTATCTGTATGTAATGTTGTATATACCGCTTCATATATAATAAGTGCCATTGTATTAAAAATTTTAATGCATAAAATATCTTCAGAACGTGACGTGAAAAAACGATAGGAAGAATTTAAAAGTTTAAATTGCACGTATTTAATTGTTGGTATTATAGCGCGATAATCCGAATTTATATAAATTGTAATGATTCGTTCTCACAGCGAGGCAATTATAAATTGTGTACAATTTAACTTTTGCTATATATAAAATTTTCTTAGGAATATTTTCTCATAGTTTCTCGTGTACAAATATCTAAGGACACCAAAATTAGCTGCGTAAACACAATTTACAACGAAAATCATATTTTCAAAATTTCAGGGCTCTATACATTTATGTATATTATGAGATATGTGTTAAAACTGTGACTCTTATAAGAATGTGGAAAATTTGGACAGATTGACTCTGATATTACGCGTACATTTATAAACAAATAGTTTCGATTCCGATAAATAATCAATAATATTTTTTGCGACTGAATAACGATGGCTTATAGTTGGGTTAAGTTTAGATAATAGAAAATACAACGTAATACCGGTGATTATATAATAAATACCAATATAATGATACGTATACATTCTCTCGCTTAATGTATAAAATATTTTTTGCGACTTAGTTTCTCCGGTTCTTCGTTTTTACGCGAGGTATTCGCTGTTTTAGAAAATTTTCATGTATATGTATATAAAAACAGAGAGACATTGATATATATTAAAATATACAATATTAGGAGCTATTATTACGATATAATGAGAAAAACTCATGAAGAAGAACGAGTTGAATTTACCGAAGATTGTACCCGAGTAGTAGAAGGATCAAAATGTATAGGTGATGCGTTTCTGTTTTCAATCCGCATAAATGCTGCTATTTATTTTTGTACAAATATAAATGGAATCATATATGAATTAACTTTTGTGCCAGAGGATAATGAAGAGTGTAATGCTGTAACAAAGAATTTACGCATTGTTATATTATTTTCATATATACAGAAGTGTGCAATGTATTACGAATGTAACACATGTTGTATATTATATATACTTTTATTTTTTCGTGTTTTCTTTTTTAATTATATCTTATATCTATTAATGTTATTGTATTTCTCCTGTGAAGTTTTGCGATTTCTCTTGCAATTAATCATGTAAAACTGTGTTGTATCTTCAGTTTAAACGCTGCATTAGAAAAAAAGTAAACTGTGATGACAAAAAACTTATTTAATAAAAAGGATAAAGAGAAGAAAATATTCAAGTTATACCAACGAACATACATATGGAATCGAACATTTGTGAGAAACGATATTTTTATTACTCATACTACTCCTATAAAAATAAGTAATATTCGAAATTGTATTTTTGTGAAGTATATCTGTAATAAAAATATAGTTAAATGCGAGAAAAATTAAGAAATCGGAGCTATAGATTATTGATATTGTCAACGTCATTGTGAACGTGTTTTAATATGTTACATGTTATTATTAATAAACCAAAAGTCTTATTAAATATTTTATTTGCAAGATTCCTATTTTAGACTTGTGTTTCCCTTATATTTTTAAATACAGAAATAATTAAATTCTAGAATCTCTGAATAATTCTGTAATAGTATATGAAATTTTAATTAATATCAACATTATGAGTAGGGGTATTTGTTGAAATGGAAAAATGACAAAGGGGCGTGGAATTATTTTTCCAATTCTTTATTTCCTCTACTTTCTTAGTAAATCAATGATTTTAGCTACTACGAATTGTGTACGAGTTATAATTTACTTGTAGCGCACTATAATAATTTAATCAATTTCCTCCATCTTCGCTTGTCGTCTTATCATGATATTACAAAAATTTAGGGTAAATAATTTTATTTTACTTTTTTTTCATGAAATGCGTTCTAGAATCTGTTATATAAGCTCTATTAGTTGTTACTTATCATTAAATTTCACTCCTCTTACGATCTTGCGAGATGTGGCCTAGTGACAATTTTATTACATTAATTTCAGAAAATAAAGAAGGTTTTTATATATTTTTTAATCTTTTGATAACAGAGTTTCACCTGTCACCTGAAAGCACATTTTAGAATACTGTGCCTGTCCTACAAATATTTTATACCGTGAATCTTCCTCTGGCTATATATATTAAAAGATTTATACAAACAGTAATTAATTATAAAGAAATTGAGATCAATTTTTTAGCTTCAATTTGCTAATGAATATAAATTATAGTTTTCAAAGATATGCATGGTGTATTGACAAAAGATAATTCTAAGACGATATATAAAAAGATAAATTCTATTGTTAATTTCTATTGTCAGAAAACTCAATATTGCAAGCTTCACACGGAAATTAAAAAGAAAAAAAAAAACTTGCAGAGGTGTTAAAAGATTATCGGTAAATTATTCTGAAAATAAAGTTTCGCCGTCAAATATACATTTTCCTCGATATTCTATATGTAGAGAGGGAAAAATTAGTTTGAGACGGACGATTTTTCTCCCTTTCTTTCTTAATAATAACTTATGTAAAATTTCTATAAATATCATTTTTTCTCCTTCGTAAAACTGACATACAGGTGGTCAGCGCAGTGCGAAAGCACTCAGCACTTTTACAACTCCTTCACGTATTATTAAAATGTGAGAATTTCATTCTAGAACGGATTGTCAAAGGAAACAGACTTCGTTCGTTTTATTTCTCGGACCCGTGGATTTCTATCATCTAGTAGAATTCTCACTTTTTTAATTGTAAGTATTCATTACTGCACACGTTAAATAGAATCAGTAAAAATAACTGATTTGTAGAAATAACATGATTCCCGGGCATAAAAAGCCGCGAATGAACTTGAAACGTGATTTCAGTTGCGGTTCTGAATTTCAAAATCATTTTCTCTGTATCCAATAGCCCGAGGAATAAAGAGTTGCCAGTCTTAACTTTTTGTATTTGTATACCGCAATAAGCGTAATGAAACGGTTTTGACACAATTGTTAAATAATGGAATAAGGTAATATACGAATGTACGAAGTCTATATTATCAATATCGCATAACTTCTGATTCTAATTGGATATTAACGCGTATTTCAATACATTGTAAAATGTACTCATAGAGTAACTAAATCGCTACAAATTTTAATATAAAATCGTTCGGAGGCGCATTTTCTTTTTTGAGCGCATTCATCGTAATTATGTGTTTATGTACAATTGAAATTCGCTTCCACCGCAACAACGTCGTTCTCGAATCACAAAATAAAAAATTTAATATACTAAAGCTACACCAACTATGTACATCGATTATGAATAGAGCACTGGTAATACCCTTTGAAACTTACTCCTAATTAATATATGTATTCAGTTAACCAATATATCATTAATAAATTCTTAGATATGGTTTTCGGTAGCTTAAAAGCTAGCACATGTGTCTTTCATTTGTTCACTTCTTTTTTTTTCAACATACTTTACAAGTATATTTAATTTACGTATTTCTTCAGAGTAATTTCGTGGGAAGTAAGACTCAAGTTACAAAAACGATTAAAGTATAGCAATCAAACTCTTACAATTCTGATAAGTCTCGTATAAAATTAAAATATGATTAAATCCCTTAATAATTGGTCCATAATTCTACCGAACTAGGAGATAGTTTCGAAGTAAAATAAAACAGTCGGGCATGTGCTCAATTTTTAGGCTATGCACAATAGTTCTCTCGCAGTAAAAATATATTACGGCTACAATATATGTGTATGTATATATATATATACATATATGTATACGTATATATGTATATATAGTACTTGATTCTTGACTAGTATGTGTTTATACGAGTGACTTTCTACTTCACACGCGCACGATATCTCAAATGAAAGAACTTTTTCCGTTGGTCAAGACAATAATGTAAATAAAAAATATATCGTACACATGTGTAAGAATAGATTGATATAGAAAAATTCGTAGAAAAAACGAGTAAACAGAAAATCACTCGTGCAGCTTAATTGTCGCACAATCGCACGAGAAAATTTCGCGTTTCAACGTATGTTCCATTCAAACTCATTAATCGCACGCAAATCCTCGCCTTCGTTATCGCGTATGCGTATATGTCGCTTGCACAGGAGCATGCGCGAAGATCATGGGGTATAGTGACGGCTCGATCTTACGAATACATTTTTTTTTTTTCATTCGAAGATATAACAATCTATGGAATCTCCTTTAGGGCGATAAAAAGAGACCCAGAGAGAAATATAAATTCAATCGTTTCGTGTATCTTCATATCTGCGTAAAATATATAATACGCGATGTATACGTGAAGTCTGTCGCGAACTTCAATACGTTCTCGTATCACTTTTTATAAATCGTTTGTGTACAGTAGTTTGTTAAGGCTCCTACGTAAGACTGTCTACTATCTGATGTAGCTAAGCTATTGTATGTTTTTTCCCCTTTTTACACACTTTAAGCAGGATCAAAAGAATATTCTTCGTTCGCACGATTTGGCCTTGTGACTTAAGTATCTCTTTTCTTTAGACTCGGGAATGCCTATCGGACAGAGAAGTGTGAAAGTTTGAAAGTTTTGCAAATGATCGTTCTCAAGTTGCGCGCTCGGCTTAGCTTGCACAGAGTCTGTACATATAAATTATACATTCTCTAGCGCTGTAGATATTCTCTACCACTCGTTAGTACATCAACTATTTCTCAGTCTTGTAATAATACTACTTTAATACTTCTATAATTCATATAAAATCAGTTGCACGCATCTATACATATTGTGAAAGAACACTGTATATGCATGCACGCGCGCGCGCGCGCACGCACGCTCTTCGATCTACATTATCAATGCGTATTGCGATAAGTCTGTGTATGGGTGATGTTGTTGTAACAGTGTGTATTATACACTAGAGAACACAAACGGACAAAGTTGCAGAATTAAGAAAATCATTCTTATGCAAAGTGATGTGTTGAGGTTTGGCTTAATGGAAACAATTCCATATGTTAGTTAAGGAATGATGCAACGTAAGATGGGATAAGATATGGGAACGTAAGATGGGGTACGGTAGCAGGACAACTTTACACATCATAGAATTGCAAAGATCCTCTTGTAGTTACCACACGAAGTTACTCCTGCTGGATGTGCAATTTTAACGCATCTTACAATACGTATTGTCCCGCAATTTCAATGTTTACAAATTTTTCATCGGTTAACGATAGCAACGATCTCTGTATATCCATGATTTCGATTATAAATATTAAATTTGATTATTTGCCAAGTAGCATAATGAATATAAAACAGAATGTTCTGTATATTAATTATATTCTCAGTACGAAATTCAATCTAGATCGACCTTATAATGTATAACTCTAAGTTTCTTTTATTATTGCGTTTAATATCACTATTATGCTAGCTTCTTCAGCATGATATACCCACGTATGTGCAATACTATACGAATGTATTACTCGTAAATCTGTGCTCTTCCCTTGCGAAGAGAGAAGAGTGAATTTCAAAGAAAGATAATGGAAAAAGTACGAAGTCATACATATGCCTATATGTATACACACTTATCTTTTCTTAAAAAAGATATATTAAAAATAGTATATAATATAGCTTAAACTTAAAAAATAATCGTTGTAAATATATTATTTAATTTGACAGCTCATCTATATATTTGTACCTAATGCATTAAATTGAAAAAATAAGAAAAAACACGTACTATGCAAATAGAAATAAATATTTTTGGTAAACCTTATAGAAATATATGTATACAGCACGTATTAATTTATAATCACAATTAAATAACGTCTGAACTATTTTAAGTACGATGCAACGATAAAATGGAAATGATCGTATAAATAGCAGTAAATAGAACAGTTACGTTTACGTTAAATTATTTAATTTTGTGATATCAAGAGTATCACAGTGAAAAGTAACTGAGATACAAGAGACACACACATACGAGATAAACTATTTAGAACTATTTAGAAACTATGCCGTAATAAAAGACGGAGATGTTCGTTGGAGAATATTGAAATTATAAGATAACTAGACCTTTCACACGTTTCGTAAATCTTACTTAGAAATACTCGTTTATAATCTATATATAGCGCCGTCTTTGATTGCCCAGAGACTATGGCGTTTACCATGTATGTCTCATTAGAAAGAAGACCATCGGTAAGATTAGAAGGCTGTAATATTTTTATCTTAATCTTTAAAAAGTAACTTGTAAGTATGAAAACCCTGTGAATACTATGCGACTGACTATGCTCAGTGCATTTTTTGGTTGTACAGAATGTGTGTGTGGATAGATAATATTTTATTAATCGGCACAAGCAAACAATTTTCAATTTTTTTTTTCAAAAAACGAGTTCTGGAAACTTCGTGACTCAAGTAATCGTGCACTGTATAGTTATGATGTATTCGATGTCTTGCAAATATATCGCGTTGCGTTCTATTCTTGTTTAATACGCTTCCAATTCAATATGTTTCCAGAATCTACGAGGGGATATGATCTGATATTTCAAACAATTGCATTACGCTATGATGTTACATTCATCCATTCACACGAAGATTCAAGAGCCTCGATTTGAAAAATTCTAAGAGTTCATAATTTCTTTAAATCTTTTTCAAAGAGATGACTGTACAATAGTCTATATAGAAGTATACTCATACAAAATAATGAAAGTATTTAAAAAACGATATACTCATATAAAGTATACGATGCACATATCTTTTTACTCTAGGGCAGGATTCTTACTATACAAACTATTAGTTTCTTATTGAGCATATTTTAGAAATTGTTTGTGTCGTTGTAGGAAGTGTTTGATTACTGACGTTATTTCAACTATACGCTAGTACCTAGAAGATTTTTGTAGAATGACATTTTCTTTTTACACTTCTTTTGATTATGATTGTGCTCTCTAGAGGAAGACTTTACGAAAACACCGGCGAAACAGACATCCGAATTTGGTTGAGGAGCTCTTTCGTGTTTCTTAGAATTATAAATTTTTGATTATTCAATTCGGTGATTGATTTGGCAAGCTATAACTACGATATTGGTGTGCGGCGAATGATAGATACCTCGAAAAATACGCCTGTAACCCCAGATATCCGCGTATAGTGTAAATAGTCACAATGCCCCAATTATAATTTCTACCGTGAATACTCTTATTCGTTTTGTTTGGAATTCCTAGGAACTTCAAGTTTTCAGCTCTTTTCCCAAACAACATCATTACATTCAAGCTTCCTGAAAAACAGAGAAACAAAGAATGACGTGAGATTATTGTAAGTTGTTACGAAAACATCACAAACGTTTATATAAAGATAGACTAAAAAGTAACATAATTAAAATAATATATGGATTATGACTAAATTTTATTTTAAAATACTCATAATATATCGATCGTAAATTCATATCACGTTATATAAGTGTAGTACTCACTTCAGGGAATAGAAAGTGCTCACGAGTAGGTTGCGGTTGCTCGAAGGGTGAGCTGCTCATGTAGCCCGGTGACGGTGACTCGCTCTTTTCCAACACCGGAGTGATGTTCGCATAATTAGCGGACGCTGTAGTGAGAATTCGACCCTGTTCCACTAAGATACTACGATCGATCTTATAGTATTCCTTCCCGCTACGAGGCCGAAGGGTCGTTGTTACGGCTCTACCTCCTAATCTGTATATAATAAACGTACACATGATTCTTTCATGTCGATTACATTAAATAAATGAAATTAATAATTTATCAGATGTAATTAACTTTCAGATTTTCGGCCGACGTCTCTATCTTCTCTCGCATGTACAAAGAGATCAAACAAATGTATTTTTTTAAATGAGACATCCGTCAAGCGTGTAAAATCTTACCTGAGGCTGTCGGGCGTATCGGACGAAGAGTGAGACGACAATGACAAAGTTTCGATGTAATCGGACATGTCGGAAGTGCCACTGCTGGTGCTCCGGGAGTCGATATAGGGCGTGTTCGAAACTTCGCCGGGGCTGTTGAAGCCCTTGGTGGCTTTCGGCAGACACGTGGGTATGTCGGCCTCCGCGGACGAGGATTTCGTCGGTATCTTGATCTTTTGGAACTGAAAACTAAGCTCCCGCAGAGGATCGCTGGACTTGGACTTCCTCGGCAGGCTGCTGTGGTAGCACGTGGGCGGTGGACTCTTGCGACAGACCGACAGCATGTTCTGCTTGATCGCCGTGGCGGCAGGTGTCAACGACAGCTCGAACTCCACGAACTCCGCCGTACGGTGGCTGAGAGAGCCAGTGGAGACACCAGAATCGTTGCTACTCGACGAGTCTCTGTTGTGACCGGTCTTGGATGGCACGGAAGAAGAGCGTCGGATCTTGATGAACGACGGCTGAGTCGCAGTCGCCAACACCTGCGCGTTCTCGTGCGCGATTTTGCTGTCGGCGTTTACACACGAGCTGTGCGACTCGCCGCTTATCAGAGTATTCTTGTCCGCTTCGCTCGAACACTTGTGGATGGTAAGCGTGGACGGAAAGCTGTGACTCTCGTCGTCCAGGTAATGCGCGGACTCTGCCGAGTAAGATCGCTTCCTCAGCAGTATACCTAAGCTACCGCCGGACTCCGCGGTATTACCTGTGTCCAGGTAACGACGCCTGAGGTAGGGACTGGACAACATCGCCGATCCTGGCACACGATACTCCGAGTCTGACCTTTTCTTGCTGCCTTCGAGCAACGCAGAGCCCGACAGCGTCGGATTGCTGGAACTCTTGATGCCGTTGCAGATCCTGGACAGGATCTCCTTGGAGCAGGCATTGTGAGCCGGCTGCATCGGTAGATAACCGGGAAACGGTTTTTTCGGGGTTTGTTTGTCTGGGTCCATGACCAAGTAATCATTCTCTCTTTCCTTCGTGTGACCGCACTTCTGACAAACTTTCGAGGTGTCCTCACTCGGCGCCTCAGCTGTCGTAGGTTCCTTCAACTGATCCGCGAACTTCTCGATCTCCTCCTGCGAGATACTGCTCTTCGTCAGCACGTCCTTGCTGTTTTCGTAATGTTCCAGCGATTGCGTGAAGTCGATGTTCACGTAATTCGCTCGCTTCGCCTCTGGCTGCGTATCTATCACCGGCTCGATGTTCTCATAATTGTTCGACTTACTTGCCGCGGCACAACCGCAGTCATCTGTGGTTTTCTCGGTATCGCTCGACTCGCTCTTGTTCGCTCTTTTGGCAGTCGCGTAAATGGCAATTTCACCGCTGGCATTCACCACCGGCATCTTACCCTCACCTGAGAGCTTCACGGGATGAACTGTAACCCCGGTGGGCTCGATTCCAGCTCCGCGTCGGCAGTAAGGCAGGACGAAACCGGCCCAACTCATAACGTTGTGACAAGGACACCCCGAAGATCTGGGCGACTGTACGGTGAGTTTCGCAGGACATCCGCAGCCTTGCAGCATTACCGCCTGCGGTACCTGAGGCGTATCGTAATTGGGATAAGTTTTTGGCAATGTGAGACATTCCTTTATCTTCCTCGGCGTGTCGTAATACTGTTCCGGTTGGGGACCTTGCTCCAACAACATATGGTGTCCCAGAATTGTCTTCGGTATATCGTAATTCTCGTAGGGTCCCGCAGCAGAAGCAGCAGCACCACCACCACCAATTCCACCCCCGCGAGGTACAGCTTGTTGAGTTTGTTGCTGTTGAGTTTGTTGAGGCTGCTGCTGCTGTTGCTGCTGTTGTTTCCGACCCGTGTGTACACAGGTCTGCTCGACAGGTGGCAATGGCATCGGCGGTTTCTTAGGCTTTTTGGCAGTGACGGACTGGGTGGCTGGCAGTGACGACGGTTGTTGGGACGGTTTTGGCGGTCTCGGTGGCAACGCGCTCGGACTTGGTGACATACGGTGAGCGGTTTGCGCCTGTTGAGACTGGGCGGTTTTAGACTGCGTGCAGTGACATTCGATCTGCTGTGAGCCAGAGTAGTCGCTGTCATGGCTGCTGCTACTGTAGGAGGACAGCGAGAGCCGGTCGAAAGTACGCGGTTGCAAGTGGCACCCGAGATTATTTAATGTGCCTGCAGGACTGCTTATGCCGCTCACGGTGGCTGTGGTAATCAACGTCGACGACTTGGAAACTGTGCCAAGCTTGCTGATGCAACTGGCGCATCTCTCGAGGCCAGCCGCACCTTGACGAGTGAGCGAACAGCTGCGCCATTGATCGCCAGGTTGATCGGGTAACTCGCTGGAGACGGATACGGTATCTCTGCAACTGTAATCGCCGTCAAGCTCAGTCTGCTGTCTGCTCTCCGTGGACGACCAATACGGCGAGCTCTCGTTCTTGCAGCTGTCGCAGTGCTCCTCGTACGTAGACGAGTATGCGGGAGCCGAAGGGAAGAAGTCGCTGGCTCTGGTCTCTGAGCGAGAACATTGACGTCGGGGGCTGTCTTGCATCGATTGCTCTCGACCGAGTGGTCGCTTTTTCGTCGTGAGCTTCCCTTCGGCCGCCAACTGAAGCGTCTTTACGATGTCCTCCCCTTGATCCGTTATCAGAACGTGTAAACCTTCTCCTCGACCGCACCTGGAGCCACCCTCGAAGCAGAATCTGCCCTCGACCACACCGTACCGTCGCAAATGCGCGATCTCCCAGATACCGACCAGCCGAGGCGGTATGCCGACGGTGATGCAGAAGCGACGGTCTTGAATGTGTAAATGCGCCGGTCCATTGGTGAACTTGGCCTTCGACGGCACCGAGGAGATGAGTATCAAGAATTGCTGATCTGCGGAGACAAAGTCGGGCGAACTGAATGTATGCAGGTAACACGATGCGTCTTGTTTGAACTATATTATTTGTGCTTTATGAATTTCATTTCGGAAATTCGTAAGATATGTGTCCCTTCAAATAACGTAACTCACGAATGGCTTACCTTCGCCCAAGTTGTTCGAGATCTTAACTTGCCACTGTATCAATCGCTCCCGCGTGTCGAATGCGAGAACGACCGTCACGTCTTGGCAAATAATCGCGATCGTATTGGATTCTTTGTCGAGAGTGAAACCGCTCTCCACCCCGAGAAAATGTTGCAAGCTCAGGGATGCTTTTGTCTGGCCCTGCTTGTAACGATCCTTACTATCCCCGTAAAGTTGAAGGTGCAAGCAGTCTATTGACGTGAAAGAGAAAGAAATATTTATTATGCTTTAATCTTGCACACGTTTGTTTCACGCGACTTCTGGTCGAGCAAGTTGAATGAATTTGTTTTTTATGTGCAAAAAGAGGTATCTTCAATCTCTTCAATCAACACAGGTGTTTGATATTTACAAACGTGTAACAATTTGACAAAGCATTTGTGTGTACCGCTATGTACTATTTTCCGACGAATATTGATTCACAATGAAAAGCTCATTCCAATAAAATATTTATTTTGCACGAAAAGCAGAACTTTGATGTATTTATAAACGTGTATAAAATTAAACTAGCACGTATTTGCATAGATATTTTACTGCACATTACATTGCAACGTTACGCTTCCACTATAAACATTCGACCCAACATGAACTCGTGCCGTCACACGCGTTTGCCGACATACAGAAATAAATTCGGTTACACGTCGTTTACATCCCCTTCGTTAAGTCCACTCGGGAGAAATTTATGAAGTGCTTAGACGCACGGTTCTAAAATATCCTCGAGTTACGGAGATCACGTATTAATGGTTATTGCCAGGAGCGAAGCTGTTCTTGGAAATTTTTTTTTCGCTGCTTCGAGCAGCCAATCTGTAACAGATGTACCAGCTGCCACCCTATGAAGGCGGCTCTAAAGGGGGTAGGGATTCTTTGTACTGATAACAAGCAGGGAAAGATCCCTTTTAAAGGGCGAGAAGAAGTGGAAGTGACTAACTCTTCACGGCTACAAATTTCTAACCGATTTGTAACGCGTGGAACGCAAAAATCTGGCCGCTCCATCTGTTGCAGCTGACACAGCTTGCGTTTTAACGAGATGGATATTAATAATTACGCAAGCGGTATGCCGACCACATTCAAATCAAGAAGCACCAATTAACGAACCTTTCGACAGTTTTATCGCAAACAAACACGTCGTACAGCACTTTTAATCGTAAAATTTTGTTTCTAATCAAAATTTTATATCGCGACACGAGTGCGAGATTATACATTTTTCTCTCAATCTCGTAATTAACACATCAACAAATTGGTAACAGTCGACGCAGGTTTATCACGCTGAGTATAATTAATTATAATAATAAATAATTTTATTATCTCGTCAAGCTTTTATATTATTCTTAAGATACCAGAAATTTCCTTTTATATAATAAGACAATTTCAAATAATAAAATAATTGCACTCGACCTGCGTCGGCTCTCATTAGACCCACGTTATAAGCATTTGAAAATTGGAGAGCCTCAAAATAAACGTTAATCTTATGAATCTTTCTCATTTTGAGTGTCACATTGGGACGAGGAAGTACGCTAAAATAGAGACGCGGTGCATAATGCACGGTTTGTCGAGCGGACAAAGCAGAGTCTATTATGCAAATTTCAAGATACTGTCTGTATCAACGACACGGAGCAAAAAGGTAGGGAAGCTTCAAGAATACATAATGTATCCTGTTTATTATCTTATTGCTCCCTGCCTTCCTCCCATGCCCCACTCTGGTCACATGATAACAATGTAACACAGCCGACATATAATAGTAAAATGCATTGCCTGTACATGTAAATGTCATTAGCACAATCTTATCTAATTCTCATTAATAAGACGTTATTATTAGCTCGCCGAAGGTAAACGAACGGAAAAACAATCAAGTTATTGTGAACGTGCTAGTTGAATGGAAAGTATACAGGGTGTCTCACTTTACCTGCTACTGGTGATAATTTCCGCATAACGCACCATCTTGACTTCCACTGTAAAAGAAATTGTATTCCTAAGATACAGTATTCTTCAACGTTCCATAATGGTATGCAACACAC